GGTATCCGCCATCCTGCAAAAACATTAAATCTATACACCATACGTGGAAACATTTCATTAGTCTCTAATCGATGGGTAGAAAAGGAATTCCCCTCACACTTAGGATCCCACTTTGGCTATACCGCTTCAAGGCTTTGCGCAAGTCCAATTCTCAAACATTTAAGCTCAATTGCACACAAGGCACACCGAGGCATAGTTCTAGATGCTTCATTAATCAATTAACATAGAAAAATCGAACTTAAACCATGCCTCAACGGCCACCAACCAACATTCACTAAAGAGGGTCAACATTTCTTCAAACCTTGCACTTGGTGGGCAATTTTCTTAATTCAACTCAAATCCTTTCCAATTCGTGCCCAACTCAAATCTTTTGACAAGATTTATTTTTATAATGAACATGAGGCAAAAAGGCATGTTTAAACTTACGGTTAGGCGTACTTAGGCACTAGATGACAGTAAAATATCTCACCTATCTAGAGGTTCCACGTGGTGATCAGTTAGGTGTCTAGAACACAACGATGAAGAAGGGTGACACCTAGAATAATAAGCTGGAGCTCGACAATCAATATCAAAAGGTCAAATTAACATCTTATACAAATTTAATCTTTTCAATAGCTCAAGAACTTTGTGAGCTATTTCACTATGATTCTATAGACTTTGAGAACTATTTTCCTTTAAGTACTAAATAAGTTATAATATATGCAAAAGTATCGTAAATTGCTATTTAATTCATCATATCGTAAAATCTGCCATTTCTGTTTACAACATCTAAACAAATTAGTGCTAGAAAAGGCCCCAATGATGAACAGTTGAACTACATCTTAGCATAGCTTGAACCTTGGAAATGACTAAATGAGACGAAACAAACCCTATACAAATGACGCATAAGTAATTACGTCTTGATCTTCCGGCCACATGTCGCGGCCTCATACAATCAAAATGCATACTGGACCCTTGTGTACGTAGCCACGAAATGACAATAAACTTATAGCTAAAACCTCAAAATACCATTCCCGACGCTGCTCAAGATTGTAGGCATTTGGATATGTGAATACAGTTAATTTTCTCTTTGGTGTGTTTAGTTTCTAGAAATACTGAATTGGGATTTTTATTGTTGTTATTTTATGATTTCGGCATCGTCGCTCGATCAATCGGAATCTGGGCTCTGCTACTGAACAGGAGAAGAAGAGCATGTAACTAAGGACGGTCTGCAGTGGCCGTCTTTTAATCTCACTCTGGTGACATACATATATACATCCAGCCGATCCATTTTACGCCTCCTGCTTGCTGACAACAGCTTTATAGATTCTCTCCACAGACCACATGCGTCCTTCTCCCTTTCTATGTTGCTCCCTGAGACATCATCACCCTATTATTTTAATATTAAACGACGACGGATGATAAAATATCTCCACAGGTCAGGATACAGACCTCACCTCCCATTTCTTTTTCCATATATAAAAGTAAATACAATTTAATATCCAAATCTTTCATTTTAAACAATATAATAGCCAAACTTTTTCGAAAACAATCTAATATCCAAATCGTCAACTCTCCGTCCGTTTGACCGTTAGTTGACACTTCAAAAAAGCTTTGTTTAGGGGGAAATTGTCACAATACAACTTTGTTTTCTTGTTTTGACATTGCAGATGACTGAATATTTAGATATTCTACACCATCATGGTGAGGTCATGGACTTCTCGGGTTTGGAACGACGATATGTTGGTGGTTTTTCAGAGAAGATATCGATGGATATTGATGAAGTGCCGTACTTAGAACTTGATGAAGTGTCAACTAATGGTCAAACAGACGGAAAGGTTACGATTTGGATATTAAATTGTTTTCGATAAAATTTGGCTATTATATTGTTTAAAATGAAAGGTTTAGATATTAAATTGTATTTACCCTATATAAAAAATAATAGTAGTGTTTGTCTTTTTGACGCCATCTCAAATGTCATCCTGGACTACCCCTTGACCTTAATACATGCCAACAAAAGTAAGTCTATATCCAGAAGTATACTGGGCCAAAATTATTCACCCAGAGCAAATCAAGTAAATAACCTTATGGTTAATAATTATACATAATTCAATTAAAATTCGTTAAATAAGCGTCACTTCTCTTTGTTGTAAAGTCTTTAATTTTTCCCCATTAATCTTTAACGGACGATTTCTCACTCGTTTTAAGTCGAAATTTAAATTTTTTGCAGAATTAGATCAGATTAATTGTGTTCTTCAAAATGATATCCACTTTGATATATTTTTGGAACAAAAAAAATGTAGTCATTTTTTACCACTCTTTACCATTTGATATAGACTGGTATTGAAATAAGAGCATACCTATGGTATGAAAACGCGTACCATGGTGGTATGAACAAACCAAGACTGTAGGATGGTTAAATACATGATAGTAGAAGTATACTAACGGTCATTTATGACTTTCAACATTGTGTACCACAAGATACCACCGGTACCACTATCTACCAGGGTGGTATTGTATGGTATTTTTTTGTCCTGTATTTTGTTCACCCAGAAATTTGTAGATCCAATAGATCATGATGAACTCGTTCCTTCTGTGCAAAAATTTTCAAAAACAAATTAAAAATGAAGAAGATACCATATGGTATGCAGTTGGTACTGAGAGGCACAAAAAAATTTCTGAAAAAATATTGAAATAGAGCACAACGAACTCGTTCCATCTGTGCAAAAAAAAAAATTTGAAATTCGAGTTAAAACAAAAAAAATATTATCCGATTAAGAAAACAAGAGAAAAATAAAAATATATTTAATTCTCTACCCTTAGATTTGAATTCTCTGAATAAAAAGTTCAAATTTAGTTCTGGAAATTATGCACCCTATCTTGAGCCCTTTCGCCCTATCTACACTCGGAGATCAAACGGTGTACGTTTTCCTTGTGGTTTAACGAAAATGAAAATCGCATCCCATCTCTTCATGTTTCCCGCGGCCATGGAAGGAAAGGAATTAGTAGTTTATTTCATCAGGAAAAAATCCTTCAAAGTAGTCCATTTGGCGACGAAGAGATGCATTTGTGATTGTGTGCTTCGCTGGTTGAAGTAGCCGCACGAACTGCATTTGCGGCTCCTACTGTGTACCGTGTTTGTTTTGTTGTCAATCCCGAATCTGCATGTATATATCGTGTATTAATTTAGCCTTCATACTGGTACGTACACATTTTCACCGTTCTAGTTGAGCGTACTATGATCCATGCAGTTCTCATTACCTCACTCACGGTTATTTGAAAGATTGGGAAATCGTACCGGAAGTTGTATTAAAAAAGTCAATGATATTATTATTTTTTTTTTTACTGAAATCGTAGTTGAACCGTTTCATGCTGCTAAAACTATCAATCTACTTAGACACCAACATGAAATTTTTCAATAGAATCATCGGTATGTTTACGATTTTGCAAATACTGATAATTTCCGTATGCTTACCACCTGCACTCTCTAGCATTAGACAGATGATGTTGCGCCCAGGGGTCGTTTGTACGATGAATTTCATAAATGAGTAATTTGATCCATTAGTCTCGAAATTATCAAATCTCACAATTGAACATCATTTCAAAATACTTGTCACTCCAACTATTAATTTTAAATTAATGCAAACCAGAATAAATCAATTTATCTCAGGTCAATTAATGCATCCCTATTATATATTGTCAGACGAGATAATTTCACCTAATTCTTCATTTCAAACAAATTCATACCACCCAAAATATTTTGGTAGATGTTGGATCCAATCCAACCCGACTCAATATCATCCCACCCTAAAAGAGAAGTTGAGAATGTAGAAGATAAAAGGGAGGTGGTGGAAATTAAAGGCAGCAGATACAGATAGAGATGGCGAAGTGGGGTTCCACGTTGTAGGGTAGGGGAGTTGGGGTTATGACACGTTTCCCACATCCCAGTGATGCAAACCACCTGGTGGTGAGGGTGCATGCGTGACTCATCCTTTCTCTTTCAAACGACGTCAGTCAAACCCTCCCAAAAGCCACACTTAAATTTACCCCAACCAACCCAATTTTCTCAAATTCCCCACCCACCTTTTCCCTTTCCTTCCCAATCCTCCTACCATCATATCATATATAGATTCCGGCCTGCTCTTTTCCCACCGCAAACCACTCCCTGAATTACCCCCCAAATGCTCAGAAAACAATATTACTAACAAAGTTCAATCTAGTCTCAATAAAATACTGCGAATCAGAAAATAGAAAGAACCGACAAAGTAAGAAATGAACACGACACACAAATGTACGTGGTTCACTATATTTTGAGAAAATACATGCGAATCTGAAAATAGAAGGAACAACAAAGTAAGAAATGAAAACAAACACGACACGCAGCCTTTGTCATTTGATCCAATAGCGTTGCTTACGTGGTTCACTATATTTTTTGAAGATATAGATTAAAGAGAAGTATGAGAAGTATTTATAGTACATCTCCATGTGGTCTAACCCTATTCCAATATAATAAAGAAAAACGATTTCAAACCAGGCCTGAAACACAAAACCCAAATAACATTGAGCTCATACACCGTAGATCGGAAACGTTACACCGGAGCTCCTATCGGAAGGAAGCATCGCTCCCCCGAACTGGTGCATTCCCCCCTGAACCCATTCGCTGACAGGGTAACAAAACTCCATAACATCCAATAATAACCAAATAATCCGATTCAAATCACATCGACTTAAATATAACTACAAATGTTGTGTATCAGTACAGTAAATACACAGGCCATTGAGTATCATGCATAAAAAAAAAAAAAGGAAATCTAACACAAATAAAGAGGGAGATGGAAGGAGGGAGAAACACGACTCCCCTATCACACCCCGCAAAGCGTCACTTTACCCTTCATTCTCACTAATAGCCTCTCGCAGCGCGTAACCCATGCACTAGCTACGCACCAACCTATTCACCTCTCTCTCTCTCTCTCTCTCTCTCTCTCGTTTATATAAACAAGATCTCCCACACCCAAACCGAACCAAACTACAGACCACCGTCCGGCCATCCATCTCTCTCTCTTTCCTTCCTTGTTGTTCTTCTTCTTCTTCTTTGTTCTTGGATATATACCAATATCATTCATTGTGAGTTACGTTGTAGTGAGCGAGGAACGATGATGCCGAAAAGCGGGGTCGGGGAGAGGTTCACGGAGTTCATGGAAGGATGGGCTCACGAGCTGGAGGTGTACCTGGAGCAACTCCTGCGTGCGGTGTCCATCAACGACCACCATGACGTGGAAGCCGAGGCCGCCCTCGTGTCCAAGCTGACTCAGCACCACAAGGGCTACTACACCGTCAAGTGGGCCTTGGCCCACGAGGACGTCCTCCCTTTCTTCTCCCAGGCCTGGGCCACCCCTCTCGAGAAGGCCTACTCCTGGCTCACCGGCTGGAAGCCTTCCACCATGTTCAAGCTCCTCCTCTCCACCACCGCCACCTCCTCCGGCGCCGTGCTCATCCACCTCACTCAGCAGCAGCTCGAGACCATGGAGGACCTGCGGCAGAAGGTGCGGCTGGAGGAGGACAAGGTGGAGAGGGACATGGAGAGGCAGCACGTCGCGCTTGCCGACAGGAGGATGGTCGAGCTGGCCCGCCTTGCCAGCCGGGGGACGGTGTCGCCGGCGCGGATCAACGGGCTGGTGGAGGTGGCGCTCAAGGGGGTGGCGGACGGGCTGGAGAAGGTGGTCAGGGCGGCGGACTGCGTCAGGCTGAGGACGCTCAAGGGTATTTTGGAGATTCTCACTCCGCCGCAGTGCCTCGCCTTCTTCGCCGCCAGCAGTACTCTGTTGATTCGGCTGCGGCAGCTTGGAGGGATGAGGGAGCGGGCTTCAGCCGCCGCCGCCGCCGTAATCTAGTCCGGGTTTTCTTGATTTAGATGGGGCACGCACGAGAGTTTCGGCTACTTTTGGGCGCTTTAGTTAGATAATTATTAGGGACTTTTCTTTTTTCTCTCTTTTGTTTATTAATAGTGTTCTTTTTCTAGCTCCCCGGAGTTTTTAGGTTTGTAATCCGTGTAAAATTCCAATAACGGGAATACTGATCTAAACTAATTAATGATTAAGCTGACATCCCCTGTGTTGTGTTTCCTCAAAAAACATTTCCCAGCAACATGTCCTAATAGCTCGGTTTACAGTAGAATGACGTGTTTGTTCCATTCAGTGGCGTAGCTACGTTAATAGTAGAGGAGGCTATAGCTTCTAAACTCTTAAAATCATGTACATCTAAAATTTCTAATTAATTGAAAAATTATAGTTATTAATAAGGGATTTAGTTCGAACTCTTCATATATAAATTTTTAGCCTTCTATTTCAAAATTTTGGCTCCACTGGTTACATTCACATAGAACAACGTGGTAACTTGATGAATCCATGACTTTGGCTTTACTGATAGAACCATAAAGAGCTGCTTCCCTGCAAGAGTACAGTTTGTTTAAAGTACATTTATTCATTTAATAATTTATTTATTTTTTTGCCCTAGGTGGATATCCAATTTAAAAGAGAAACGCGTTACATTTTCCATTTTTTTAAATAGTTCTACAGATGCATGCTCTATTGTTTAATTCCATATTACACCGTGAAATCTTTTTTTTTTTTATATATAGAATATTACACCGTGAAATCGATATTTTAATACTTCTATAAAAAGGTTCTTTATTCTTTCCACCAGGTTTAATGTACAACTGTATTTGATTATTAAGTATACTTTTCCGCTAACTAACTGTATCGTTATGGGGAAAGCAAAACCAATTCACTCTCTCTGTCAAAATTTAATGTCTCGGTCATTAATAAAATGAAGTTAAGGACTAATTACTAGTCTCAAGAAATCAGTCTAAAAATATCAATTCTTCTCACCAGAACAAATAGTTATAGAGAGGGAGAGAAAATTATTAAAATAATTTTGTGAAATTATTATACAGTTTCATATTTTCCCTCTGTCTAAAGTACTATGAAAAATAGTTGAGAACACTACAATAAAAAAGTTATATGGTCAGGGTTATTTTCATCCATAGCCGAACCCTTGGATGGACCTTTGGCAAAGCCGCCCTGCTACATGTAGCAAGGGTTATTACCGACCCTTGGTGCAAGCCCCTTGCAAGGGTTATAGTAAGGGTTAAAACCCTTGCTACACGTATGTGAAAAATCCAAGAAAGAGTTGCTCGTAACAACGGTAAAACCCTTGGATAATTCGTTTCTACAGCTAGCAAAGTTTTGAATCCTTGCTACATGCCTATATAAATTTATGTAAAATCGCCGTGAATATGCTACTTGCAAGGGTTAAAGCACCTGCACAATTGGTGATTATAGCTAGAACAACATTTTGTATCGAATTAGAATGGTCGCTAAAATTCGTCACTAAATAGAGACAACATGATTTGCGGCAATAGCTTGGTTGCAAATAACCTGGTCATTAAAAACTAATCCAGAACCTAAGTCTGTTACTAAAATTCATAATATACCATATACTATTCATATCCTGAATCATAATATAATTCATAATCCAAAATGGTGTTCTTTACATAACTAAACACTAATCACCATAAACATTCAAACATACTCAAAAGAACCTAATTCAAAGTTACATGAGTAGATCATTTCCAAAATGCTTCATCATACGATATTTGATCACGAAGCTCGAGATCCCATTGATGGAGCAAGAGCACTAGTGTCACCCTGTTCATAAAATAAAATAAAAATATAAAGAAACGAATCAAATTATCAAGTGCAACAACAATTATCAAGTGGCAACAACAATAATTATCGTTATTGCTATTATTAGGATTTTATTAGATATGGTTAGTAGTCTTTGAGTCATATTAGGATAGTCTATTAGGTTTTTCCGATCTTTAGCTATAAATATGTACTTTGGGTCCCTTGTTCGATTAAGCAAGAAATAATAGAAAGATTATCTCCCCCAAATTCCTAATCTTCTCCTCTCAACCTTGTCTTCACCTCAACCTAGGCCGCTTGCCATTCTATTCTTCTTTCCCCCGATACTCTTATCAAATCTCTAATTCTAATCTTTAATCTCTAATCCCAATTTCACAAGCTATCCGATAGAATCCTAGAAATAGGTTTCTATCATATGGTATCAGAGCCCGGTTCGAGATACGAGTTCGTCACAACTCTCAACCGGGAGCGAGTTCTATAACCTGATTACCATGGTACCAGAGCGCGTATATGAAGATCTCGTACCCGACTCTTTCAGATGCGAACATCGGACTCGTGTTAGCCTATTCTATTCCTTCCCTAGATTCGAGGAAGAGCACGTAGTCGTACAACAAATTGCATCAAATGTGCTTACAATTACAGCGGAGAGCCCATTTGATTATGAGAATAGATGGATACGTTTCCAAAGACACATAAGATTCAGAGCCATCTACAACGTCGCGGATTATCGCGCTGGCTTCGGCAAACTCAATTTCATCATTGAAGTTCCTAAAACAGTCCCACCAGTCGAAGTAAAAGATCTGGCCGAGAAGAGCCTTGGCAATCCACAACAGCTTTCTACGAAGTCCGCAGTGATGCTTGTCTCACGAACGTCAGCTGCAAACATTGAATCACCACCGGCGGCTGCCGCACCTCCTGTCCCTGACGAGAAGGCAGAACAACCGGCGAGGGAGGAGTTGATGGATGTGGATTCGTCGGCCACCAAAGACACGCTAGTTGCTGTGGAGCTATTTCTACCACAACCAATCACCATGGTAACTTCTGCAACGACTCAATCACCACCACCCGCCGCCGCGGACATTTGCACAGCTACCTCGGTCGTTGAATCATCACCAGCGCCGCCATTAGCCCTCATCATTGCTGCCTCGCTGTCTCTACAGGAGACCAAGGCAACACTCCGTCCTAGCCAAATCAACCGCTGTTGCTTTTCTGTCAAGAACCAGTTGCTCCCAATAACTCGAGTTGTTGGGAGAGGTTCAATCGTGGATCATATACCACAACACTAACACGCCCCCTCAAACGAAAGCCACTCACAAGGGCTTGAAGTTTGCACAGGTCTGAAGACAAGAATACCATGTGCTTAACAAATGGGGTCACCGGGAATCGAACACAAGACCTTTCGGTCACAGAAGGCTCTGATACCATGTCAAGAACCAGTTGCTCCCAATAACTCGAGTTGTTGGGAGAGGTTCAATCGTGGATCATATACCACAACACTAACATTTTCCTCCAACAAGGCACGATGAAGATGGTGGAAGGACGACGCAAATCCCAGCAGCTTCCAACGACCAAGCCCAGACTGCTTCCACATCGACTACAATTATGCGGGTCCCTCGAACCAATGATTGGAAGTCTAGGAAGAAGGAGTCAGTGGAGGACTCATCGCCGATTGAGATGAAGGCATCGAGATGCAGGGTGATCTCTCCTATGTCACAAATCGCACAACAACAAGACGATCTAGCAAGAAGATGGAGCCGGAGAATAAGAAGGGACGGAACTCATTCCTTTGTCATCGGGAGCAGGGATAATCGTCGGCAATGGGAGTGCCGAAGTCGAAGTTAAAAGCAGGGTCGCAACCAAGCCGTCTGGTGGTGGGTTTGCGGTCGAGATTGGAAAGACGAGAGAAGGATGGATGTGTCGGGTTCGACCGACAGTGCGAGATTGGAGGCGGTAAGGAGCAGCTCGATTAGATCACCGACGCCGCCAGCCGAGCGAGAAACGCCGCGACAAAAAGTGGGTTCCCTCGTGTCGAAGACTAGTAGAAGAAAATGTTATGGACAAGAGGAACGACGAAGTCGACGGGATCCGCGCACATGGTGAAGGAGCCGAGGGTGAGGCTGGTATCGAGCTGGCCCTCAAATCGTCGGCTGTGTTGCACGCCACCGGAAGTGACGTCCGAGGTGGCGTTACGATCGTCAACAAGGCCACACGTGGCTAGAGAGAGGGGTGCGTGTTCGACGAGAGATTACGTGGCGGCACCGTATGATGAGGAGTCAACACCAAAGAGGACGATGGAAGAGGGCGAGACTTTCCGTACGAGGAGGGGATCGCCGCCGGGGAAGTTGCAGAAGGAATTGACTGAGAAGAGGGGCGGCGGGGTTCTCTCCCTTGCAATACCTAGGCCGGCCGCACAGGTCATTTGGGCCGCGGGCTCGGATGGAGCTGAGGTCTTGATTGGGACAAGAGATTGTTTGGTGAAGGTGTGGGAAAGAAGTTTTTGGCATGAGAAAATTGATGGGCTACAAGGGATAGCAGGTGGAGTGCTCCATGCGGGGCAGATTGTGGCAAGAATGGACTTTTTCCATTCATTATTGGGTAATTCTCCAGAGACACATATTGAGGCCTCATATGAAGATGTCGGAAATGGGAGTCCTCCATTTGTGTGGCTTGGTGGTAGACAGATGGTGGGTTCGCAATTGCTGATTTTGGAAGAGGGTTCGCAATTGCTGGTCTTGGAAGAGGGCTTGGAAATAACTCGTGACGATAGTCGATGTGAAGGCTTAAGGGGAGTTGCTTGTGCGCGAAGTCATGTTCGAGTTCATAAAGAGAATTGGAAGACAAGAAAGCGCAAGGAAATGATGAGTCGACGAGCGTACGACGAGATCACGATGGAGGTATGAGTCAAATTGGTCAACCTTGAGGGCAAGGTTGATCTAAAGGGGGAGGGGATGATAGAAACCCGATTTCTGGGATTTATCATAATTATCATTATTGCTATTATTAGGATTTTATTACATATGGTTAGTACTCTTTGAGTCATATTAGGATACTCTATTAGGTTTTTCCGGTCTTTAGCTATAAATATGTACTTTAGGTCCCTTGTTCGATTAAGCAAGAATTAATAGAAAGATTATCTCCCCCAAATTCCTAATCTTCTCCTCTCAACCTTGTCTTCACCTCAACCTATGCCGCTTGCCATTCTGTTCTTCTTTTCCCCAATTCTCTTATCAAATCCCTAATTCTGTTCTTTAATCCCTAAATCCCAATTTCACTAGCTATCCGATAGAATCCTAGAAATAGGTTTCTATCATAAATAGATGGCAATTCACTTGAAACAAGCCAATATAAGAATCTATGTCCTCACCTTTACCATTAC